TGAATATTGTATAATAATTTAATTCGCAAAATAAACTTTAATTTGTCGCAAATAAACTTTATACGTGGCTTTCTAGAATTAAATTTAATTTGGACTTTTGAAAATGGAAAATTTTAGGTTTTTGAAAATAAAATTTTAGGTTGTTTCACATAGCCACCCACTTGTTTATATTTATAAGATACTCCATAATAATTGCAAATTACATCATAAAATTGTCTTTTTTAAATTTCTTCATGAAATAAATTGTTAATATGTCAGAATTTTGTCTTGGTCATCGAACAAACTGTGTACCTGGATCATACCCTTGTTATGAGTTGTTTTCATCATTAAATTCGGATTCTTGAGTTTGAACATCCATATTTTCATTTGGATATTCCTCAAAATCGAATTGATTGGGAGTGAAGTCAAACATGTCGTTCATATGCATAGATGAAACTAGATTTTGTGTCTCTCCAACATTTCTCTTGCCTTTTGCGAACTTAAATTTCCGCTACTTGCCATTATAGAGTATACTTGAAAAATTGAGTATGAAAAAATTAGAGGGAATAATTAGAGATTGGAGATATTATTGAAATAATTTGAATAATTAGAGATTGGAGATATTATTGAAATAATTTGAAAATTTTCAAGGAGATTAATTAGAGATTGGAGAAATTGTTCGGCAATAATTTGGATAGTAATTATAAATTGGAGAGCTTAGAGAGTAGAGAGAAATAACTTGGTGTGAGGATGAACGAAAATAATGGGGTAGTTATAGTAAATCCAAAAAATCTAACTTCTACAAATACCCTTAAAACTAGTATTGCCACTTATAGTTGTTTTGAAGGTTAATTTGAGGATTTTGATGAAAATTTTCGAAAAAATAAAAAAAGAAGTGTTAAAACCGATTGGAACCGTCAGCTCGAACAACCAGTTTTAATCAATTGAACCACTGGTTCTAGCCATTATAAATCAAAATTCAAATTTTTTGGAACCGTCGGTTTTAACCATTGGAACGGTCGATTCTAACCGGTAGTCAAAACCTTCGATTCTAGATGATTCTCAGAACCGCTAATTCACACTTTTAAAAAACTTAGAACCAGAACAGGACTGTAACTCTTCAGTTATAGTTCCGATTCTGATCAGTTCTAGTTCTGCAAAGTTTCAATTTTGGTTCCAACCATATAGTTCCGATTCTGATCAGTTCTAGTTCTGCAAAGTTTCAATTTTGGTTCCAACCAGTTTCAAATCGACGGTTCTGATTCCAAAAACCGGATTTTGGCCACCCTTATATGCCTTTTTCAACGGTGAAAAATCCTTTTGTTTTAAATCGACTGAAAATTTAGTCACTATTTAGCTTTTTTTGTGGTGCAACTAAAACACCGGAACCATCAACAATTGCAAAATAGCAAAGCAAATTATTCCACATGTTTAGTGATATCCAAATTATTATAGACCTAATTGCATTTTACATCTGTTTCACAAACAAAGAGAATCCTTTACCCAAATTATTACTGTGCGGATTATCCTTCGAGAATTGCCAGCAGCTATGCTTCTGGTACCCATGTTCTGGATGGGCCTCCTCAAGGATTGGACAGTTGGCTTCTTCATGATTTAGTGGGAGTTACCTACACTAGGTTGTGTGTTTCTTCTTAGAGCCTAGTGCTCTCTTTTATTACCAAAAAGAAAAGAAGAGAATCCTTTAATCTAATTTATGACGAAACTAAAAAAATGCCATTAACCTGCTTACATGATCTAAATATGGTAGCTCAGAAATGTGTAGAGTAGGAGATAAGCAGCTGAGGGTAGAGAGAGAGAGAGAGAGAGAGATTAGGCTATGAATTTTTGGATAATAGGAAGAAAAGATAATTTTGTCAATAATAATTTAGATGGTTCAATTTTATGGAATTTATTTGAAAATTCCTCCAATTTTTTTATAAAATTTGAGTTATTTATATCCAATCTTAGAGGTTTCAATTCATAAATTGAAATATGCATTTCTTTTCATTGCAAACATAAAATTTTGAACGTCCAAAAGAATTCTATAAATTTTATGGGATTCATTTATTCCAAACAGATTATAAGCCTATCAAAAATAATATGTTGGACCATATACAAAACCACAAAGAAAGAGCATACAATGAGGCAATATGGTCCCCATCATTAAAAATAAAGACTTATAATTGATATCTTTATGACATAGCACCACCAAACCCGCAGCAACACATACTAAGAAAATACCACGTTCTCCAAATAAAAAATGCAGCACAAATAAGCGTTTAGATTTCAATTAAAAAGAGTGCAATTTACTAATTTGAGATTTAGATTTACATTGCTTTAGGGAATGGAAGAAAATAATTAGGGATTTAGGGTTCTTTTATTTAGTTAGTTTAAGATAAGAGTATCGATAAATGAAGTTGGGGTTTAGGGTTTTTTTCTTTTTAAGAAGAAAACTGCAATGTTTTTTTCCTTCTCATTTATTAAAATACATACATTCACAGACACACACATATATATATAAGTCAATGCTATCCTTTTTCACTTTCTATTATTTTGCAAAGACTTTGCAAAGACTCTTAATTACGTAGTTACCCACACAATTAGTTGTAGGTGGGATATCCTTTTCACTTTCTATTATTTTGTTTTGATTGGTTGTTATATATAAGTCAATGCTATCCTTTTTCACTTTCTATTATTTTGCAAAGACTTTGCAAAGACTCTTAATTACGTAGTTACCCACACAATTAGTTGTAGGTGGGATATCCTTTTCACTTTCTATTATTTTGTTTTGATTGGTTGTTATCTAGTTAATGTTAGACAGTGTTGCATGGTGGTGAGAGTTAGAGTTCGGCTAATTTAAAAAATAGCTAAACTTGAGCTTGCTTCAGACTTGATTCAATAACTATAAATAAACTCGGCTCGAAATCTATAAAACTAAAGTAATGTAATTTTGATGTAAGCTTAATTAATCTTGACTTATTGAGAACTTGAGTCCATAAAGCTAGCTTCAGAGGTGAACATGCATAGAAGCCAAAAGGATTTTAACTCTTTCGGTTTCGAGGCCTTCTAACTCTTTGGGATTGATCCACCATTGGCTGGCTCGCAGGCTAATAAATCGAGCTCCAATTTGGAAAGCTTAGCGAACAAATTTGAACGAGGTTTTATTGGAGCTACTCATAAACGATTTGACTCATTTACATTCCGTCAAATTACGTCTGAATAATAATAATAATATATATATAATATATATATATTATATATATAATATATATATATATATATATTAATATATTGTAATTTAGCAATTTTAAAAAATAACTTTTTTTTACAAATTATAAAAATGTATTTGTAAAATATTAACAATTGGAGTTATCAAAAATTTAAAAAAATAAATAAATTATTATGACATTTACAAAATATTAAAAATTGGAGTCAGTATTTTTCGCTTAGTGATAAAGGAGGCAGGGGGTGCGGAGACAGCCACGAGGTTTGCCTAGAAGCAGCCTTATAATTGGGTCAATTGACTTCATGTCACATCATTATAGAAAATTCACAAAACAAACATACGTACCCCACTTTTCTAATCATTATAGAAAATTCACAAAACAAACATACGTACCCCACTTTTCTATATCACAGTTAGTTGTGGTTAATATCGTGCAAAGACTTTTCAAGCAAATATCTCTATAACTAAGTCAAGTCAATGCTATTCTACTACAGTAGGAGAGGCTTGCTCATAATTTTGTAGTCACCCACACAATTAATTGTAGATGGGATATCCTTTTCATTGTCCTATTATTTGGTTTGATTGGCTATTTTCTAGTTAATGTTAGACAGTAATGCGTGACGGTAAAATAGCTGAGGTTTGATGAGTTGGAATTCAGATCGTCTAAAAAATAGCTAAACTCGACTTTGCTTGAACTTGATTCGATAACTATAAACGAACTCAGCTCGAAACCTATGAAATTAAAGTGATGTAATTTTGATGTAAGCTTAATTAATCTTGACTTATTGAGAACTTGACTCCATAAAGCTAGCTTAAGAGGTGAACATGCATAGGTGCCAAAAGGATTTTAACTCTTTGGGTTTCGAGGCCTTCTAACTCTTTGGGACTGATTCACCATTGGCTAGCTCGCAAGCTAATAAACCAAGCTCCAGTTTAGAAAGCTTAACAAACGAGTTTGAGGGAGTTTTTATTGTGCTGATACTTGAGCTAGTCTCGATTAATTTAGCTCATTTACAATCTGTCAAATTACATCTGAATGTATATATATGACGGGTCAAATCATTACCCAAAAATATTAGGTAGCGCGCCATCCCTATGCATGCCTTAATCAGAAGATTTTTGTTTTTTTGAGGGTTCTTAATCAGAAGATTTTGAAATTTATTTTCTGGTAAATTTCATCTCCTTTATGTATTTTCAATAAAAAAATTAGAAGAAATCCTATTCTTGTAAAAATTCTTTAAGTTAAGCTTGCATTCCAATTATCTTACATATATATATATATATATATATAACATATTATTATATATATATATATATATATATGCTATATATATATATATGCTAGATGATATAATATAACAAATAACAAGTAGTTGATTTTATTTTTTTTATCCATTGGGAGATTCAATGGGTTGAAAGAACATCGTAGGCTACACAACAAAGGGCAATCTCCCTTTTACTCATCAAATTAGTGAAAGCTTTTTGGTATAGAGGTATAAAACTTGAGACCTTTCACTTCATACATATGCAGAAAGATCAACTAGAGGATACTTGGTCGACAAGTTGTTGACTACTTCTTCACAATCATTTTTCCTTTTTTTTTTTTTTTTTTTTTTTTTTTAAAATCTGGTAAAAGACTAAATAAGCTTAATGCTCGAATGCAACACTACATCTCTCTCTTTTTTTTTTTTTTTTAAATATTACCACGAATACTGTCAAGTGTGCCTTAATTACCACTAACCGCTCCACGAGGTATTATATCCCTTTTTTCTTATAAGTATTGATAAAACTCTTCATTAAACGATCTTAGATTAGAGAGTCGAACTCACTCCCAACACCCTTAAAGAATGCAAGAGAAGTTATTGCCAAATAGGTTGCTGACTTCTTCTTTTGCTTTTTCTTCTTGAAATAGACTTTTGTCCCAATCTCTAAAGCTTACCAATTCCCATTTTCTCTTCCCCTCTCCATACTCTCACACACAATAAATAGAAGCCATCTAAGATTGCTAAATATACATCGAAAAAAATGTTGTTCTTTAGACTACTTGTTGCTTCGGTTACCATCTTTTGCTTCACAAGTTTAGTTCTTGTACCATCTTTTGCTTCACAAGTTTAGTTCTTGAAGCTGCTGAATTGCCAAATGATGAAGGTCTAATATTGCAAACCACATGCATATATATAACCATAATCTTGATTTTGAACCTTCTCTGATTTCCTTAACTCTTTTTTTCTTTTCTTGATTATATACGTATATCTTGCAGTGGAAGGTCTTCGTGAAATAGGGAAGACACTAGGGAAGAAAGACTGGAACATTAACGTTGATTCATGCTCCAACAAATCAGGATGGGGGAAACCAGAATCCATACAAGATAATAACATAACTTGTGATTGTGGCACCATCTGCCATGTTACGTTCATGTATGTCTCTGTCCCTCTAGCCAAGAAATAATCATAATACTGTATTTTTTTTCTTTTACTTATTCATTGGAGAAAGATTTTAACTAATTAAGGAAGAAAAGTTCAGAAATTTTTTTAAGTTATATGTGTATATATTAGAGAGCAACAGTTTTTGGAAATAACTAAAAAATATTTGTTTCTTCTTTTTTTTTTTTAACCTTATATGTATAGATTTTTTTTTTTGAAATATATATATATAGATAGATAGATATTGTTTTAAAATATTTTGATCAAACAAATTTTTTTTTTTTGATCAAACAAAAACTTATAAAATATTTTTTTCCAAGGAGAATATAAATTAAGTGTTTTCTCCCTTATATATAATATTAAAATAAAAAGGCTTACAAAATTCTGGAAACAGGGACCATGGCCTCTCCAGTTTCTTAAAGCAAAACCCACTTTGCTTTCTTAATAATCCCATTTTTCTAGGACTATTTGAGTAACTTAATTTGTAGTGCCCATTTAGCATCATATCATGGGTATTTTTTATTTTTTGAAAATTATACTGCTCAATTATTATTAATATCAGACAGCAGTATATCATGAATAATAGCTAGAGGCATCTGCTGCCAGTCCATCAAACGAGGCATAGAGTTAGTGGCCCTAGCTAATACATGGGCTATTTGATTCGTTGATTTTTTCACAAAAGAAAAGAATAATGACATAAAGTCTCTGGCATTGGTTAGTAGTAAATTTTGAATGGAAAAATATATTAATTCATTGAATGCAGTTTGTTATAATATAAATTTTCTTGGATTATAGCTGAATTTTATAGAAAATGAATATTCAAATATTATTTACTGATAATAAATTGTAATTATCATTTAGAGTTATTGTTTGGACATTAGCTTTATAATTACAATTTCTCTGGAAGCACAGATCTCTAAAGTCCCAAAATCTCCAAGGTATGCTTCCAACAGATTTGAGTTTATAATTAGCAATTTCTCTGGAAGCAACAAGATCTCTAAAAGTTCCCAAAATCTCCAAGGTATGCTTCCAACAGATTTGAGACAGATTTGAGCAAGTTGCCCTACCTCAAGAATATGTAAGTAGCAAAAAAGTTACTTTCACTCATATTTTTCTGCATTAACTGACTCAACAATAACTTATGGCTGTTGTTTCTCATTCATGAAGTGACCTTACTCGAAACTACCTTAACGGTACAATACCTTCAACATGGGGCTCCACACAACTCGAAGTAATGTATGTTAATTATCTTCTTAATAGATTATCGAGGGAAAATGGTTATAATATAATTTAATTTTCTCTATCATTTTCATTTCGGATTGGAACTGAAATTGAATAAATGGATGGTTGCAGCTCTCTTCTGGGAAACAGATTGACAGGACCAATTCCAAAAGAACTTGGAAACATCAGTACTCTGATAGAATTGTAAGATGAAATTATGCTCATCGATCATGTTTATATGCCTCTTTAAATAAAGCTAAATAAATATATATGATGCTTACAAGGTGTTTCCCATTGATGATTAAATACACAGTGTGGTTGAATCCAATCAACTTTCAGGAGAACTGCCTCAAGAGCTTGGAAATTTAAACAACATTAGAAGGATGTAAGTTCCTTCGTATTGAACGTTTCATTTCATTAATGGTTGATCAGTCTCCTATTGTTTTTTTTTTTTTTTTCTTTTTTGGGAGAGGGAATAGAAAAGTTCAAATAAATAAGTAATCATATTTTTAGATTCATTGATACTGCACTAATCTCAGGTCCAAATAAAGCCTAATAATAACACGCAAATGGTGTAATTAGCTTTGCTGTAAAATGCTTGTAGATATTCAGATGGAACAATCCATTGATTTTAGTTTCTCCTTTTGATGTTATTATAGGCTGCTCAGCTCCAATAATTTTAGTGGGCAGTTGCCTGAAACATTTGCAAGCCTCACCACATTGGACGACTTGTAAGTTTCTACATTATCAGAGAAATGCTCACACTAATTAAAACCTACTCTTCCATTTAAAAATACAAAATACCTATATATGTTCTTGTAACAAAATGCAGTCGAATCGGAGATAACCAGTTCACAGGCCAGATCCCCAGCCTTATTCAGAATTGGACTAATATTACAAGATTGTAAGAGTTTTCTTCCTTCCCGCCCGGCTTAATAAAGAAATATTATCAATACTTTGATTATTTGTCTGAACCAAATTCTGGTGCTTGCAGAGTGATTCAGGCTAGTGGCTTAAGTGGGCCAATCCCAACCGGCATAAGTCTTTTGACAAAGATGATTGACTTGTATGTGAATCAATCTTCCATATTTAGACTCTGTTTGTTTCTGGAAAAAAACTTATCTCTAGAAAATATTTTTGAAATGACTTATTTAATCACTTACAATTAATGCCAACAAAAATGTTATATGTGTTGTAATTACTTGTTATATTCTTGGGTTGTAGGAGAATTAGTGACTTGAGTAATGGAACTGAAATATCATTTCCACCTTTGAATGATTTGAAAAACCTGAAGATACTGTGAGTTTGAATGTCGTTTTACCAAGTAATTCTTTTTCTTCTTCTTCTTCTCTTTTTATGGTTTTTTCTTCTAATATTTGCAACTATATTTATGTTGCAGGATATTAAGGAGTTGCAATATTGGTGGACAACTACCTCCATATCTTGGACAATTTACCAAATTGAGCTCCACCTTGTTAGTAAATATAAAGATTAGCCTAATTGTCAACTATTTCTTTGTATCTAAAATAGAGATAATGATTGTATATCAATAGAAACAAACTGGAGTTTCTCGAGCTACAGAAATGAACAATTTCTGATGGTTTGGTTCATCATTTTATCTTGCAGAGACCTCAGTTTTAACAAACTAACTGGACCAATCCCAAGCAGCTTTTCCAGTTTATCAAAGACAGATTTCATGTGAGCAATTGATTTAAATGTACTTGTTCTTATAATTGATTTTCTCCCACAAATTTGATCTTGGGAAGGTATTATATGATGGTTGTTTAATGTTTTTCAGATACTTTAACTGGGGAATGATGCCTGAGTGAAAGTGGCCAGTTGGAATTCTTAGAAAACTGAAAGGAAACATTGCATGTGAGTTTCATTCCTTAATAATGTTCTATACATATATGATTTAGAATAAGATTATCTAAGTCTCTCTCTTCTATGGAATGGTAGATAATGGAGAAACAGTAAATGTTCTTATAAAAAAATCATTTTTTTTTAATTTTGGTTAGATATATATATATATAAAATTATTATATAATACAAACCTATATATATATATATATATACACACTAGGCGGTTCTCCGTGTTTGGCACGACTGTATAATAATTATATTTTTCATTTTAAATGTAATCTATATATATATGCTGAGTAAATTATAAAAAATCATTTTTTTAGGAAAAAAGTGGTTGGAATTATTATATATAAAGCCTTGTAGGTATTTAAAATACTTTAAATACTTAATTTTTATTTTCGTAGAGATTTATGTAATTAGAAGTATATAATTAAATAAAAATTTAAAACATAATAATTAATTCATCATTGCATAAGACATATTTAAATCATTTGAAATTGATCACATTTAAATCCCTAAATCCCTACAAAATTAAACAAAATAAATCTAAGCTAAGCAAAATATAAAATGAAAATGAAAATGCAAAAACAAAATCAAGTAAACAACTCAAACAAAGCAATAAAATTTCATAATGTTCTTTTTTCAACCGACAATATACCGAAGAAGTTAAAGTAAAGAATTAAGTTAAACTTTAAATAGAAGGAAATTTAAAAATTTTATAAAAAAAAGAAAAATAGAATAGTGAATAAAAAGATAATCATGAACTTTCTGTTTATATATGACGATATATAAATATTTAAATTCTCAATTAGCAAAAAGAAAAAAAAAAAAAAAAAAAAAGCGAAAACCACTAATTTCACATCAACCCAATTCTTTAAATTTTAAATCAAAATAAGAAAAACCACATATGTAGCCTTTTTTTTATGATAAATTTGATATAATCATACAAATAATAAACTAAATTTGAATATCCCAAATATTATAGACTTGAAAATATTCAACTTATCGTGAAAAGAAAAATTAAACTTGTATTCTTATAATTTATTCAAAAACTGAAAATCATAATTAAACAAATCAAAAGAGAAATAATAAAAAAAAATACTACTCACCATCTTATCTTATCATTTTTAAATTATATTTTATAATGTGTATTTTTGAGATACATGATTTTTTTAATAATTTTCAAATTATTAAATTATTAAATATACTATATTTGATTTGAAGTTTAGACTACATAAAATACAAATTTTTATATTTATAAATTATGAAAATTTAAAGATTATGAAAATTTAAAGATTTGGACATTGTATTGTTTTTTTTATCATATATTTGATTTCTTCCAAAAAAAAATAAATAGCATATTTAATTTGAATTTAAAAACTAATAAAAATCTTTATGTATATGTAAATTATGAAAATCTAAAAAATGCAATTGAAATATTTAAATTTTTTATATTTCCATAATTGAATGAATTTAAAACTCACAAAAATGAAAAGACAATTTATTATTGAAAAGTAAATGATGTGAGAGAAAAAAATGGATTAAAAACTCACAAAAATGAAAAGACAATTTATTATTAAAAAGTAAATGATGTGAGAGAAAAAATGGATTAAAGAAAAAGAGAAACGTTCAAAAATTTGCAAAAAAATCAAATACTCAAAATCTATATAATCTCAGTTTTTAAAGGGAGCGCTACGTTAGTATTGGAAAGAACTCATTGATTCTCCTATATATATATATATATATAATAAAATACATAAATGAATAATATAAAAAATATTAGACTCTTAAATAAACTCTAATTAACAGATAAGCTAGGATTCTTACTATCCTTATCTAACTATAATTATCTCTCCATTAATATAAATATTCCCAATTAAGCCTAAAAGGTGATAATTTCACAATTCACTTAATCCCAATTTCCAAGAGCTTAACAATTGGTGCGCCGAGCTTGGAACACACTTTTAATCCCTAATCATTTCAACCCCTTTCATCCTAAACACTATGGTCAATGAATTGTTCGAACACCATAACACGGAGAGCCAGGGCAATAGCCATGGCGAGGCAACTGGACTGGCCATGATACCCCCTCCGCTGACAACCGACCCTTAAGTAGCGGCTGCTCTAGCCCAAGCATACTCATAATTCACCACTGTACTAAAACGCCTCTCAAAACCCCTCATCAAGGTGGCAAATTGACTTCCCCAAGTGGACCAACGAACCAACATCACAAAGAGCGTGGTGCATCTCAGCCAACACCGAAACAACAAAGTCACCCAGCATCTGAACAACTCCATGAGGCAGAGTCGGAGGTGAACCTCAGTATGGCCACTCCCTACACTCAAGAGTCGAACCATAGACAACCGATCATGGATAATGCCAATCTCCGAATCATTATTAAAGAACTGATTAGAGAATGCGGAGAAACAAGAGAGGTAGGGGACCACGATCTCTGGCAGGACTCACCCTTATTAGCCAATATCTTGGGTGCAGCTTTTCCCCCAAAGTTTAAAATTTCGACCTTCCAATCCTATGACGGATCTACTAATCCCCGTAGTCACCTAGCAACCTTTCAAACCATGATGTACCTCCAAACCAACTCTGTATACCTTATGTGCAACGTCTTCCTAATCACCCTAAAAGGAGCAGCTCAGGAATGGTATCAGACCCTTAAAACGGGATGCATCCAATCATTCTCACAATTAGCTACAATGTTCCGAGCTCAATTCATAACGAATGTGCCATCCAGGAAAATCTCATCTGACCTAGTAGATCTAAGAAGAGAGGATGGAGAGACCTTGAGACAATATATCTCCAGATTTCAAAGAACAACGATGCAAGTAGACAACTTGAATGATGAAGTGGCAATCAGTGCCATGACGAAGAACTGCAAATACATTAAATTGTTCAAGAGTCTAAGTATAGATCCTCCCCTAACTTTTGTCGAACTTATGGCTCGAGCTCACAAATACATAAAGTTAGACGAGGCTTATGAACCTCAACATCAGAGATTGCCTATGGAAGAAAAATCCAAACACAAAAGACACCCCTCTCCAATAAGGAGACGATCGCCCAGAAGAAGATTGCCTTTCCTACACACGCGAGCTAGCTGTGATGTTAGAACACCTTACTTAAGAGATGATAGATCACAACAAGGCCGAAAGTTCACTCCTTTGAATAAGCCATGCTTAAAAATACTATCTTGGGTAAGAGACCATGGAAACAATGTTCAGCTCAACTATCCCAGAAAGATGAAGGAAGATACCTCGGGTTATCGAGACAAAAAAAAAGTATTCTAAATTTCGTAGGGACATTGGCCATGAGACTGAAGCCTATTAGTAATTGAAAAAGAGATCGAACGCCTCATACAAAGAGGCAAACTAAAAGAGTTTGGGGGGAGGGTTCAGAAGGAAACCAAAGGGAAAGAAAAATAGGTGAGGCAATGTAACACTCTGGGCATAATTCACATAATTTTTGGTGGTTTGTCAGGGGGCGATAGCAACTCAACTAGAAAAAGGAGGGCTAGAGAGGTTTACTCTATCCTACCCCAACAAAAGTCAAATATGAGACCACCTATCTCATTTTCTGAGGCAGATGGCGAGCAGGTACATAACCCACATAATAATGCCTTGGTGATAGAAGGAGTTTTGGAGAACTTCTTGGTAAAAGGAATCCTAGTAGATAACGGTAGTGTAGTTAACTTATTGACTATGAAGGCCTTTAAAGTTTTGAAGTTAGATTAGGCGAAGCTGAAGCCTGTCCGAACCCCTCTAGTTGGTTTAGTGGGGAGGCCAGTTCAAGTAGCTAGATCCATAGATGTAACTTTAGAGCTCAAAATCGAAGGTATTTCAAAAAGATTTAAATGTAAATTCATGGTAGCGGACATCCATTATCCTTATAATGCTATGTTAGGTCGACCTGCCATATATGAATTGGAAGCAGTCACGTGCATCAACTAGCTCACTCTAAAATTTTACTATAATAATAATAAGGTGGTGGCTTTGAAGGGAAATCAGAAGATGGCTCGGGAAGCGTGCATGATAGCACTGAAAGGGATACCTCTCGCCCTACCCATCATATGGATGCCGAATGAGGAAGCATACGCAGTGCAAGATGAACATTGACACTTGACATATCTAGAAACACCTCAAATTCAAGCCCAACACATGTAGGCGAACTAGTCAAATGGGAAGTTGAGCCAGGGAAATACCTGACCTTGGGGGCCGAACTGCCTATGGAGATACAAAACAACATAAAAAGGGGTATTAGAATACAATCTTAATAGCTTTGCCTGGACAGTTAGGGACACAATTGAGATTAACCTCGACATCATATCTCATAAACTCAGTATAGATCCAGATTGCAAACCTGTGAAGCAAAAGAAGTGAAGCCATGGACCTAAAAGGCAGCAAGCCATAATAGTCAAAGTAGACAAGTTGTTGCGTGCAGGATTTATAAAAGAAGTTGATTACCTAGAATGGTTGGCAAACGTAGACTTGGTACCTAAGCCCAATGGAAAGTGGAGATTGTATGTAGATTTTACCGATCTAAATAAGGCATCTCTAAAGACTCCTACCCTCTACTTAACATAGACCAACTAGTAGATTCAACGGCTGGCTATGAATTGTACAACTTCGTGGATGCGACTACTGGATACCACCAATAAGGATGAATAAGCTAGATGAGGAGAAGATGAGTTTCATTACCGATAGGGGAATATATGCTATCAGGTAATGCCCTTCACTCTAAAAAATGTAGGAACCACATACCAGAAACTGGTCAACTGCATGTTCCAACACTAGATAGGGCAAACAGTAGAAGTGTATGTAGACGATATGATCATTAAAAGCACTCAAGCTGGTATGTAGACAATATGATCATTAAAGCGCTCAAGCTGCTAACCACCGTAAGGACTTAGAAGAAGCATTTGAAATTTTTAATAAGTTTAGCATTAAGCTAAATCCAG